CTAATTGTTGGGCTTTGATTCATCTTATCGCCACAAGAATGAAAATCGAGCTCCAGTGACCTTTCTAACAACCATTGATGACAATTCTCATATGATTCCAGGTATGTTCAATATTTGTCTTTACAATTCAAGTTAATAATATTTGCATTCAGGACCAGTGTTTGTATCTGGAAATGCTACTGCTCAGACTTTGGCTCTTTTTCTTTGCAAAGTCAAAGATCTGGTTATACAAATGGTGAATTATCTTTTATTGTAGCTTTGATATTGCTTAATTTTATTTTGCTTAAAGAAACTGTTGTTGATATTGGACTGAAGAAACACAAGGATCAGCTCTTACATGAAGCAAAGAAAATTGTCAAGTCCAAGTTTGGATGGTGCCCACTTTTCTTCATGATTGATAAGTGTCGGGCAGCTCGATCAGCCATCTACATTGGTATTTAATCATATTTCTGTGTTTTATGATTTTCTAAAAACTTTGGCTAGTATTTCCTCAGATGCGCATCCGCATTTGTCAGTTCCATGTAATGCAAGCTATCTTGCGCTGGGACAAGGAAGTCAGTGATTCCTTTGAACCTCAACCACGTCCACGTCTTTCTCTTGAGCGGAAGCATTTGCTGCTTAGAGCTGTACGCACTCTTCAGCGCTGCCGCTTTGATGAGAGATGGGATCTTAAGGTTGCAGAGTTCAAGGAGTCTGTTCGAAGACTCTGTGTTGGATCCACTACTCAAGCCAACGATATAATCCGATATTTTGAAGCAAATTAGTTTACTCCAGAATGGAGAGGTATTTTCCAGATTTTTATGGCCAATTCAATGCTCAAGGATATCATCCATAGATCTCTGGACTGATATTGGTCTTCCTGCTGGCCAAAATCGGGACAAAATGCTCTCTACCAATAATTGGACAGAGCGAGCTTTCAAGACATTTGATCAAATTTTCTTGGCCAGCTGAGCAAACAAATTGTATGTGCTTATACCATTTATCTGCATTTCTAATGTATATTTCCAGAGCTTATCGTCTTGTACTGATCATTGCAAATCAGTGGTTTGACTATTATCGAGAGTCCTCCTCTTCCTCCTTCAAACGCAAAAAGATCTTCTCCAGATCTCTAGTAACTGTTGCATCAGAAGCAGCTTGATGACGCCGGCCTGTCTTTTCCTTGATAGGATGATAGGATTCTGGCCCTTTGCAGCTGGTCCACGAAGTTTCTGACTAGTTTCAAGCTCTAAAGGATCATAAGTCACATTAATAGAGAAATAAAAAGAATATAGCAGACCAATATAGTCCTTTACTGATCCATGATCAATCTGCAGTCTGACTGCCAAGATGTGATAGCAGGCCTTTCCTGTCTGATCAAATGGAGAACAGGTGCAAGAAAGAGAACCATCTTTCTCTTCAGTTACAGTAGCATAGCACAGAGATGAAGCTTTTGGAGGCATAGCAGGATGTTGTGTGCAGTATAGAAGAAGATGGTGGTAGTAAATGGGAGAGATGTCCTGGCCCATCTAATCTGATCAGCCAATCAATAGGTCTGTTCTAAATATAGTAATTAAAAAACCTGGGTTGGATCAGTACTTTCATAACCCAAAATCCAGGTTGGATCAGTAGTTTCACAACCCAAAGTCCAGGTTGGATCAGTACTTTCATAATCTAAAGTCCAGGTTGGATCAGTACTTTCATAAATCAAGAATCCAGGTTGGATCAGTACTTTCATAAATCAAGAATCCAGGTTGGATCAGCAGTTTCATAACCCAAAAATCCAGGTTGGATCAGCACTTTCATAACCCAAAGTCCAGGTTGGATCAGCACTTTCATAACCCAAAGTCCAGGTTGGATCAGTAGTTTCATATACCAAAAATCCAGGTTGGATCAGTAGTTTTATAAACCAAAAATCTGGGTTGGATCAGTACATAAGAAATGCTGAAATTGTAGTTTAATCTGGGGGTTGGATCAGAACTTCTTAAATCCAGGTTAGATCAGGACAATTATCCCAGGTTGATTCAGTAGTATCAAAATGGTTGAATCAGTAGTTTTAATATCTAAAACCCAGGTTGGATCAGTAGAATTTATACATGCTGGATCAGTACTTTGAAAAGCCGGGTTGATTCAAAGACTGCAGGGGGTAGAAACACATCTTGCTAAACTTGACTGGGTATTCGCCCCTCCTGCTCTCTATCACCTTTTATCCCAGCCGAGAGACGTTCCAGCGGCTTTCAAATCTTCAGATGAGTCGTCTTATCCTGAATTATTCCGACCTCGGGGAAATTCTATAAGTAGGTCTCATTGCGCAAGATATCCCCAGTTCTCCGCGAGACCTTATCATTCACGATCAGCAGAAGAAGCTAGAGCCTGTCGGCAGGCAGTGGATGTCTCCTTTCTAATCCATCGCCGGAGACAGTAGTGCATGGTGTGCAGATCGACTTCGATCCTGTTAATCCAAGGCTAGAACAAAATACACTAAACGCAGCTCGGCTGACTCGTCGCGGGCACAAGGAACTCGCCTTCCTTTCTCTAGTGCGCAGCCTTGCCTGATAGAGAATGTGGGAAAAGGTGGACCTCGGGAAAGAAATTCTGGACTATATCGCGATGGAGAGGCCGGTTCCACTGGTTTGCGCGACTTGGTAAATAAAATGTTCTACCCGAAGTTCACGTCGTTTCATTCTAAACGGATATTCCAATTTAAAGTAGCATTCTTCCTTCTGGCGTCCATCAACTTGCGATCAGACTGCATATAATATGGCACTCCACTCGAGAAGAACATCCGAATGCCTTCGTACCCATAATTGACTTGGGAATCTTCGACGGGAGTTATCTCGCCAAATACCCTGCTGCAACAGATATTGCAATTTACGGTAGGCATGTCGACATCTTGGCCCCTCTGGTCTCGAAGACGAATGGGTCTCGATGTGGGATTAGACACCGTGACTGGAGTGAAGCAGAGGAGGTTTGTGAAACCAGTGTACCGGGGTGCGTCGGGCTTCTGTTCCTCCGAGACAATATTCTCGTCGTCGGTGACCCATGTCGAGAGTTTCTGGACATTTAATACACACCCGCCGCGTTCTCAACGGCCCAAAATGGCGAACTTAACGATTCATGAATCCGTCTCAGCCGATCGTCAGGTATTCTCGTACACAACGGCAAGAAAATCTCCGTAGAATGGTATTAAGATAACATCCTGGATGTATTCGACTGTATCTTCATGGATGATACTCGGGTGATTGGCTACTAGTATATCATACCAAAATTTCGCCTATCTCTTCTTTCTCCAAGTCTTGCTAAGTAACGTTGACCTAGATATCCACCAATATTATCCTGTCTCAGATACCTGTCATGTGTATCTCGTACTTCGGTTGAGCCAGGATGAATTAACGGCTTAGATTCTAGAGTGGACCCACAACCGTGGGAATGTTTCTTCAGGTGGCGATGTTTGAGTCACCAACGCGACGCGTAAGCTCTCCTGGTCCACTGTAGCCGTCATTGTGGTCATTAGTGAATCGTACGAAGTATGACAGTAAATATACAACAATATGCAATGCGTGATCTCATGAGCAATCTCTTCCCTAAAGTGCTGGAAAAGGAAAAAAGGATAAAGATAATATATGAAAACACCCCATGCAGTAAACCCTCCTCATGCTCCTCGAAATCTATCTCAGCCGTTTTCACGACGGCGCTACTTCTCAGGCTCCGTCCTATGGCTAGCGTCCCGCGGGTTTCTTGGCGGGAACACCCTTCTTCGCAGCGGCCTTGGTCTTGGCTGCGGCCGCCTGGGCTTGCATTTGCGATTGCTGAAGTTTCTGCGCCTGCATATGAGCAGCCATCGCCGCCTGTTGCATCTGTTGTGGGGTCCTCCCCATCATCATCGCATGGGTTTGAGCCTGAGACTGAGCCTGAGAGCCACCAGCGCCTCCTGCCGCCATCATCGCCTGCTGCTGCTGATGCAACTTGTATTGCATCATCAGGGCATGCTGTTGAGGCGTCAGCCCCGACTGCTGGCCGCCCTGAGCCTGCCCTTGGCCCTGCGCGTTCATAGCGACCTGGGCCGCCTGCTGCTGCTGCTGTTGCTGCTGGAGAAGGTGCTGAATCTGGGCGTGCTGCTGCTGCTGCTGGGCGGGTGTCATTCCACTTGCACTAGCACCACTGTTGCTCCCTCCTGCCCCAGCCTGAACTTGCCAGAACCCATTGTGCATCTGGAACTGAGCACCGGGATAGCCGTATAGCGGGTAGTGGGCCATCTGCCGCTGGGCTTGCGTTGGTTGCTGTTGCACCTGTTGGCCTTGCTGGGCCTGCTGCTGCTGTTGGGGTAGTGGCGTATGCGACTGAAGAGGTGTCTGTTGCGGCGGCATCTGCCCTTGGACTGGCTGCTGTCCCTGAGCGATTTGTTGTTGTTGCTGCTGCTGGTGCTGTTGCATGACTTGTTGGACGGTCTGTTTCTGTGCTTGTGCATGATTCTGCGCTTGCATATGAGCCCGTGCGAGGGCGATTTCCTTTTGCTGATTCTGGATTTGCAACTGCTGCTGATGTTGAATCTGCGTCTGCACCGGTGTCTGCATCCGTATCGGAATCTGCCCTTGCTGAGCCTGGCCTCCTTGCTGCTGCTGCTGCTGCTTTACATCTACCGACGCAGGCATCGCCGGCGTGATAGCACGCCCACTACCGATCTGTGGTGAAGCCGCTGCCATCTTTGGGGTCGCGTTCACAGAGTTCGGGTTCAACGCCATTCCGCCTTGCACCGCTCCGGCTGCCACCATAGGACTTCCGTGCACGAGCGGCCGAAGTTGAGACGGATTGTATTGCTGTTGGAACGCGATACGCTGGCCTTGCATCTGGTGCTGTTGCTGACCTGGGTGTTGGACCTGTCCTTGTTGCTGAATCTGTTGCTGAGCATGCTGTTGTTGCTGAGGAAGCTGGGCTTTTGACGGCATCGGCGAAGCCCTCGCAGCCTGTGCCGCCGCCAAACTCTGGTGGTTCAGCACAGGACTTCCGCGAACGGGCGACGGCGTCGTCGCGAGGCTCTGTGCCTGGCTGATGGACGGGGTTTGCGCCTGAGGGCTCTGCTGCACCTGAATCTGCGGCGTTGCCCTCCCACCACTCACGTTCGCAGCATTAGCATTGGCCTTCTGCGCCGCCTGCAAACGCTGTTGCTGCTGCATGTACACCTGCTGCGATTGCTGGAGTTGCTGGTTGTAGAGCTGCTGCTGGGCTTGTGCTTGTGCCTGGTTGATTTGTTGCTGGGTCGCGTTTGGTGGAATAGCCATGCTCATCTGTGGGATCTGATTCAGCTGACTGGGTTGTTGCGGACCATTCGACAATTGCGGCTTTTGCATGGGGCCAGGGCGTGGAGGTTGGAGGAAATGAGGGCTCGGAACAGCGGCTTGGAATGTAGGTGTCGCACTCGGATATTGAGGCGGGGTAGGTTGAGTTGAGGGCGCAGGCTGTATAGAGGGTTTCGGAGTTTGGGCAAAGCGTTGTTGGGGTGCTGGTTGGAGGCGCTGAGCTGTCGGCTGGTGTAGTTGGGGTTGAGATTGAGGCGAGGGTGCAGATTGAGCTTGTTGGTGTAGTGCTGGAGAGGGCGCTTGTTGGGGTTGGGATTGTGGTCGGGGTAGTTGTGGAGGCTGCTGATGCTGAGGGGACTGCTGTTGTTGGTGCTGCTGTTGTTGGTGCTGCTGTTGCTGCTGTAGGTGGTGTTGGTATTGCAAGTACATTTGCTGTTGCATCTGCAACTGCTGAGAAGGTGTTGGGGCCCTGTTCGCCGCTTCTTTGGCTGCTTTGGATGCTTGGAGGCTCGCATAAAGCTGCGGCTGCATCATCGGTCCGGCGTTCATTTGAGGAGGATGTTGATTTACGAATTGGTGTGTGGTAGGTTGGGCGGGAACGGGAGTAGGGGTGCCATTCGGTCGGTAAGCGACATTGAACTGCTGTGGCGTATCGATCTTCTTGGGCTTTTGCGACTTTTTGTCCGCGGAGTCACTCGGCGATGGGGCTGCCACAGCAGGGGCGGGAGTAGAAGGAGTAGCGGGCGGTTGTGGCTGCAATTGTGTTTGGGAGGGCTGAACAGCTTGATCGGAGGGAGGAGCCGCATTCATGTACTGGTTCCCAGGTTGTGGCCCTTGTCCAGACGCCACGTCTTCTGCGCGCTTTTGCCGCGTGACGTTAATGGCATCCAACAGTCGGTAACTACAAAACATGAGAATAATCATAATCTCAACAAAAGAACACTGACGAACCTTGGCGCATGAAGTCGGTTATCGCGAGGCGCCATAAACCCGAGCAGTCGTTCTCTCTTCGCTTTCTCGGGCCCATCCTCTTCCGGTTCCAATGCTGATGCCTTTCGTTTCAGAGAAAGTGGCATGCTTGGGGTCGAAATTCTGAGAACATGGTTCACAGTGCGTGTAAGATGAGGGTCTGGGTCGAGGCATAGAGGTTGGGAAGTGGCAAGCTGTGGAGGTGTTTAACGTGCCTGTATGAGAAGTGACAAGAGAAATACCCACCAATAGCTTCGCCTCAACCTCCAACGCATCCATATCTGTCCACTTATTGCCATTCTTCTGATTTAACGAGCATATGTCCGCCCACAGCGTCTCCGAGTTGGGATGAAGAATAACGCGTGTCCTCTCCGGTGTCTTCAATGCAGGCTCCTTGCTTCTTTGTGGACGGTAGTCTAGTAGTTCCACGACCATACAGCCTGACAAAATGCGATCTCAGCCCACAGGTTAAGTCAAAGTTGAACTGTGTCCTCACCATCGTAGAAAGGAACCCGGGCCGCATCAAACAGTTCCAGAAAGTCTACAGGTATCCGGTGCGCACGAATATCATCTAGGAGAGACTATCGGACGTCATAGTTAATATGCACATATAGTAATAGATTCAAGGACGTACAGCGAGCTGGTGGTTGTACAGAAACTTCGATCCGTTGTTCAAGACCCAGTGCTCTGGATGTAGGTGGACCGTGAACGAGGCTGGCGATGATTCTGTCTTCTCTAGAAGCTGCTCGACATATCGTGTCCTGTTGTATCCTGCCATATCGCAGTAAGAAAGCCCGCGATAGCGAAGGGCTGGAGATGGTGGCAGATGGCGAAGAGAAAGACCTCGGAAGAGTGGCCCTGACAATGCCCTTCGATTATGTAATCAAGGTGTAATGGACGCGTTTAGCAGATCACGTGGAAACCAATTTACCCCGAAGTCAGAAATGCGGCAATTGACTCCCTCTTCCGAATCACAACGCTCTACTTGTACGCTATGGAGGGTCAGCTTCGTGAGGTATGTGTGACAACTTTGTGACCGCATGCCTTTTGTTGACCTCCTTCGATGGAAAAAAACAGCTTGTAACGTTTTTACGCGATCGAAACCCCCAAGTTCGGCAGATAGCCCTCGAGAATCTATTACCACAAACCGTGAAGGGAGCCATACATAGGGACATTTTCTTTACGGGCCTTCAATCAGGTGGTCTTCAGAAGCCGAAAGAGAGCGATGTCATTAGGGACTTGAAGCTGCTATGTCGAGACCAATTGGTACGGAAGCGCACTCTTCTTGTCATTATTTTGACTGAAAATAGAACTAGAGTGTAGCCCATGATGCCTTTAGAGCGCTGGTGAACTTATCGGACTCGCCGTTAATGTTGACTCCTCTTTCCGAACCCGCATTCCTGAGCTTCATCGCCTCGTACATAATTGTGCGTCTTCCTTTCCCATCATCCACCTCCTATCATCAAACACGCCGCAGAACCCTCATTCCATCCTCGCCGATCTTGCATCAATGCTCCTCTCGAACCTCACAGCCGCATCGCCTGCCTGTTCTACCCTACTTTCCTTGAAAGTCTCCGTCATTCCCGACTCCCGGTTATCCAACTCTTTCTACCCAGTCGAATCGCGGTGTGGATCATGTCCGGCACCAGTACCCTATCCCTCAGCTGAATCAAAAGAAATGGCTGCTCTGCCCCTTCTGCTCGACGCATTTGTAGAGGGTGCACAGATCGTCGAGGATGGCGATTTATCAAAACGATCACGGAAGGCGACGCTCCACTTCTTGGCCAATGTATTTGCGAATATGACGGTTGTACGTACCTCCAATTTCGTCTAAGTGACACAAAATTGACACCTTCTAGTCGCCTATAGGTCGAAATTACTTCCTTTCTCCCCAACCTGTCAACCTCGCCAAACCTGATGCACTGGAGTATCCTCTCGCCAAGCTCGTCGCTTTCACGGAGCATGAAGACAAAGTGCGGAGAGGTGGTGTTGCTTCCACGATCAAGTCCGTAGTGCTTTCTTTCTTCTGCTACGAGATACTGAGCCGTGCATAAGAAATTGTTCTTTCTATGCTGCAGGACACAAAGCCATCCTAAGTCCAGAATCCACCCAAGCGGCTGTTCCTCCCTCGAAAGAAACAGCACCTGGAATCGACGCCCTACCCTACCTCTTGCTACCACTTGCTGGTCCGGAGGAATACGATCTCGATGTATGTTCGACCGATTAATACGCATTCACGTCTAACGACGTTGTAGGACCAAGAAAAACTCCTCGAACCTCTCCAATTCCTCCCACCCACTAAAAAGCGCGAGCCGGACGCGAGCATCCGGCTGACACACGTCGAGACATTACTCCTCCTATGCCACACGCGCCGGGGCCGAGACTACCAACGACAACATGGAGTATACGAGATAATCAGAGTCGCGCATGAGCACGAGACGGTGGATAAGGTCTACATCACGCTATTTCGTCCCAATGCGTATACTCACAACAGCGATAGATCTCAGAACACATCGAGCGACTGGTACAGCTCCTCCATGGAGAAGAACCAAAGATCATCGACGCGGAAGAAGAATTTGAGGAGATCAAGAAGGTTCCTGGGCCAGAACCGATGATGGGTAATGTTAAGGAGGAGATGAAACCTACGCTTCCTTCAACTACAGACTCGGACGACGAGGACATGCGAATAGAGGAGATATAGTAAAAATAACGACGTCGGGCTGGATCTTATTCTCGCGGGGCTGCCCCTCGTCCCGAACCACTCCCAACATCAGATCTATTTTTTCCCAGCCCGGTGCGAGACGACACCATTCTGCAAGGTGGGATGTCTCTAATAACGGGAATTCACTGGGTGAGGTGCTTCTGGACAATGCCTCGCACCCTAGGATCAACATTAGCCAATATCTCGACCAAGTTATCCTGTTTATTTTAGCCATCCGTCAGCCTTGCGCTCGTAAAAAAAATGGAACTAAAATATCACGCACCCAAAGCTTATTCTGATCCTCGTGTCCCCTCTTACTGACTACATAGTCGCTCGGCTCAGCGACTGCGGCCAAATTGATGTACGCTCCTCGGAGGCGGTCCTCCTCACCCTTCGCACCAACAGCTGCCCAGACGAGCTGGCGGGCACCTTTCTCCGTCGAGCGTGCGAGAACAAAGTCCATAATCCAATTCAAGACCCCTCGGACTCCGGAGAACCCTCGTCGCAATCCAGAATAGCAGTACCCCGGGTTGACGGTGTCAACGATGAGCGGTTCGTCCTGGAGTCTGTCTGCGAGCGCCCGGGTGAAGAGGATGTTCAACACTGGAAACCTCAGAGTTAGGAACACATTTCTCTCAATTGGAAGAGAGGATTGACTAACATTTCGTGTCGAGATAGCGACTGCTTTATACGCTGCAGCATTTGAGTAGTGGTGAGGATGTGAAGGAAAATAGTTGATAGACGCAAAGGAGATAGACACACCTTGGCGTGCAATACGCCTGACTGCCAAACACGTTCAAAGGGTTTTCCGAGCCCAACAGGTCCCGTTGTGTGCCCATGGCAGAGAAATAATGAGTCTCGCTCGATACGATGACAAGACGCGGGAGGGTGATGCTCTTCTTCGCCGTTTCTAGCATCCTCGGCAGAAGGAGGAGAGATAAGAGCGATTGGGAGAGGACGTTGGTCTGGAATCTGCAGTTCAAAAACAGCAGTGGAAGCCAAGCCACCAATTAGTCAAAAGCCAGAACTTGGAGATGCACACATACGCTAGCTCCCATCCCTTAGCAGTCATTTGCGGGGTGTTGCCTATAGGCAGGAACGCCGCGTTTGCAACGAGCAGGTCGAGCCTTCCGCCTTCTTCCTCGTAGCGGTCAGCAAACGCCTTCACCGAAGAGAAATCCGCGAGATCGACGAGCCACAGCTCAGCCACTTCGCAGCGTGTATCTTCTCTGAGCTCTAGAAAGAAGAATAACCGTTAGTTGCTCCTCAAAGTAGAGATCAGAAGGCATACTTTTGAGAGCATCCTCGCCTCGCTGCTGATTCCTGCACGCAAGGATAAGTTTCGCGGGCTTCATGCGCGCAAAATGCTTCGCAGCCTCGAAGCCGATCCCTATATTTGCGCCGACGACGACGTGTTTTCCAGATAGGCCGTCATAAACGACAGGGGGTACCCGCCTGAACTGGTCCACAATGATGTCAAAAAGTGTGTGTTTCATGGTCGGGTCCGAGGTCTGGAATAAGGGAGGATGTCTTGATCTTCATGAGTGTCCTTACATTTATACGGGAGGAGGATTCAAGGAGGTACTACTGCCAGCCGGCCTGCCAGATCGCCACGTACGAACGTCGAAAGCAAGACAATTTCGTATGTGCTAAGCACATATAAACTGGCTGATGTAAATGGCAGGTATATCGTTTTCGAGTCGAGTTGTTGCTCTTCTGCACGAGAAAAGAGCTGGCGATGACGGAGAGAGGTGAGGTCATCGGCAAGTTTTCGCCTTGGCAGACTAGCTGAAGTTCTGTCCAGGAATGGGCCTCCAAAGGCTTTGCGTCATGAGAAAAGTAAAGATTCGTCTGCGAGGTTGGGATATGGGGAAGAAATTGGGAGCCAGTTGAAAATAAAGGTGACGGCAGGTGACGGCACCACCTTATGCGTCAGTCGCAAGTGGGGTATCCTCCGTTAGTGGTAGTTAATGAAAATGCATTTGAGTAGACTGGTGTCCGTCTAGATGATGAGATGAGGAGGTTTGTCGATAAGTATACACTATTCCAGACCGGTTTGAACAGGGGTTGAATTTGCGTCGCGTTCGTCGGTGACACAACCTTTTCCCTATATAGTAACCGTAAATCCGACCGACCCTAAACCCTCAAGTCACGTTTATGTCCGCAACCACGGCCACGGTCCTCTGCCGATATTCTCGCGAAGGCGACGACGAAGACCGCGACGAAGCCTACGACGAAACCTAGGCGCAAGAAGCCAACCGCGTCTGCCCTCTATGAGCAAAGGATCTCATTTTCACCTCTTAGTGGTATAGACACTTGCGGCGCTCCTTCCAGCACGACCAATGCCGACGCGCCCCAGACATTCGAAACCGCTAAACCAGTGCAGCACCAATTCAACTTCCGCTTCAGGGCTTCAAAATTCTCTGCTTCCGTTCCTGAAGCAACCGCAACACGCGACGACGTAGTTGAGAGGGACCCGGGTATGGTGGAGGGAGCCACGGATTTCGTTGGTGGAGAATTCGGTGGCGCTGAAGAACCAAAGTCGGCTCTCTTGTATTCAGTAAGATTTATACCGAATATGATCTATTGCAGCCCAACCGCATCCCCTCTCCCTGCCACGAAAGCAGAAGAGCCCCCGCGAACTAGTGCCGAGCACGTCGAGAAGGTGGTAGCGCTCCTGAAGGAAAATCAAATGAGCCCTTTCGACTTGCTCATCGATATCCTCGACGAATCTAAACCGGAATATTTCGCTTATCGTTCCGAGTTCTATGAAGGGAGCAACAAAAAACTGGAAGCGATCCTCGACCATATCGCTGGGACTGATACGGGAAAGCGCAAGCTGTGGGCATGGATGCGATCTCATGCCCTACAGTTTGTCCGTGAAATCGTGGACGAAGAACTGGATATTGTCAATAAAGCAAGCATACCTTCAGGAATCACGGTAATCACACACTCTCAACAGCAGACGGAGGAAATACCGTATACTCCGTTTTCAATGCCCCAGAAGCACCAAATCGGTAATAGCTTTGTGAGCAAGCCGGGGGTGTCCCCGTTGATTGAAATCGCATTTATGGTGTATTTGTGGAATGTGCACTCCGCTGCGTTGAATTCAGACCAGAAACCCTCAGACACAGGCCCGCCGGGCTTCTGGAATTGCAGCCAAGTATGCGGTGCGTTACTCAGATCTCCTATATCGCCGGGGACCGTATTGGCAGCACATTGCGTAATGTTGACAGAAACGACACTAGAGAGAGGTAAGGCAGGCATTGAACGCAGAGCGACGCGTCCTTAAGGGCAGGTATCGCTGTGCGTCTCAAGGACTTCGATTTTGGAACATCATAAATCGAGCCTCTAGTAGTTGGTCCTGAAGATATTTCACCAGCAGCTCTCTCATCCAACTATCGGATAGGGGCATTCAGAGTTCGAACGCCGCTGTTCTCAAGCAGGCTCTTCAGTCCGGCTGAGAACTTTGACCAGCCTGGGACAGGCCAGAAATATTCGGATTGTCAGATTTACAATTAAATGTTAGTTCCGAGGATCACCGTCACTTATTGAAGCCTGAGCCGAGTCTGCTCTATATCTGTATAATACATTACCGGAGCTTCCTTGGGATGGATTCACTGTCAGCGAAGTTCCGTTCACGCCGTTCGTCACTTTCCCTGTTACGCTTGGATCAATATCTCAGCCGACTGAAGCTCATTGACGAGATAAGCCTCGATTCTGACTCTGATTCTTTGTTCAAAATCAACCAACAAAACACATCGGAGAGTTTTCCAACACCACTGGGCATCACCTCGTTCATTACTTGTTCGCTTTTAATTTGGCATCTTCCCAAAGTCTGGGACAGTGATGGCTAGTCCCCATGAATTCATCACTATTGCGATGTGCCAGCGTGATATTGGCTAGCCGCTAAGTCAATGCCCGCCATCTTCATCATTCATCCGTCACGGTCAAGTAATGACCCCCGAGTCATTCTAGGCATTCCATCCCTATAGTCATTTCGTCCTAGTGCCGAGTTTGAGCTAAACCGCACAGATTCATCCTCGATCTCCGCATAATGACGTAAGCTAGGAAGCGATCAAAATGTCACAAAAATGGCAGTTATCGACGCGTGCGCCACATTCCGCGTCAAGCCAGCGCGCAATTGTCCATGTAGATCGATGAGCTAAATGATGGTAGTACCAAATGTACTTAGAGTGAATAAATTGAAAGGTGACTAAGGATAAGGTTTGAAAGCAGCTTAAAGACCCTGGTGTCTGGCAATATGGAACAAAGATATGGAACCCCTGAGGCTAATATGACACGATTAATGGAGAGAAAAGAGGCAAAAAATAACGGTTAAAGAGATAGACACCATAAATAAAAAACCCCGTTAATTTCCTGGATTCGTACACCGTAAACCTTCTGATGCAAAAATACACATAACGTCCCCTTGATACCTGGTATCGTGCATATGACCCCCACCCAACTTTCATGGAAGGTTAAAGGTAAGTTAAGCATTTCACCAAATTTTAAGGGACATTGCTATTTGATTTGACCCTTTGTAAGCATACAATCGATGCTCACCTTGATTTATAGCCCAAGCTGGTTGATTGACTACTTCGGGCCTGAACGGCCAGATGTACATATACAAAGGCCCTCTTCTCTTCGAGGAACTTCGTCTTACCCGAAAACTCAGAACTCATGCCTTCTCATAAATCCAACACTGATGCTGGCTACTCCAGCCTCAGCGCAACGCACGAGCAAATTTGTGCCTCATTCCTCGGACCCAAAGGAAAGAATCACAAAATCCTCCAGGATTTCTTTACTACCATTGTTCAGGACATGAAAGAGGCTCGAGAGAAATTCTATCCCGATGATCCAGTAAGTTCAAATGTCCATCCTCCAGACTGACAGAATACTTATTGACAAATGGTCGGAAAGACTTTCATCGATCAAGCAACTGTCCACTCTGCCACGTTTAACAAACAAAAGCACAAACTCGAAGGCTATATAGACTTCCTCAGCAAGATGCTCGCGAAGCACTGTATTCTATTCTTCTCTCCCCGGCACAACGGCCACACGATTTCCGACCCATCGATGCCCTCTATTCTTGGTTACCTCGTTGGACTGCTCTGGAACCAGAACAACGTTACTCCGGAGGTCGGCCCCATAACCAGCCATGTCGAATACCTTGTAGGGCAGCAGATTTGTAGAATGCTTGGTTATCGTTCGTCCTACGACCCGAAGCCGGCTATCCAACCGGCGCCTGCCATTGGATGGGGTCACATCACGTGCGGTGGCACTGTCGCCAACTTGGAGGTTCATCTCTTACTCTTTCTACCTCTTTGGTCGCTTTGATTGATCTCAAATTCCACCATTTACTTAGGGTTGGTTAGTACTTTTTATGCCTCGGAAGGCTCCCTGGATTCTCATTGCTGCCTTCATGTCTATAGCTCGAAACCTCAAGTTCTATCCATTGTCGCTGCTGCGCGCCGTAAAGGAAGGCCGCCTCTCTATTGTCGCAAGCACCTTTGAAGTGAACCTCTGCAATGGGGACAAGAAGAAAATCGTCAACTGTTCTGCCTGGGAGCTCCTCAATCTCACCGTAGGCGAGATTCTGGATCTCCCTACGCGCCTCGTCGCCAATTACGGAATTTCCACTCAGTTCATCGAACGCGCTGTGGCCGACTACTTAATCGCGAATACGGGAAAAGAAGTTCTCGAGGAGTATTTCAAGATCAAGGCTCCCAAGATGGCCGTCAGCCTCGCTTGCCATTATTCTTGGCCAAAGGCGACCTGTATGCCTTTTTGCGTTTGCATCGACATGTACTTGACATTATTATGTTCTCCCAGCTATCACTGGTATGGGCATGGGCAATCTGGCCCACATCGGCGTCGACATCAGTGCGCGTATGGACATGCATCGGTTGGATAAGTTCTTGCGAGAATGTTTAGAGGAAGAGACAGCTGTATATGCTGTGATTTCGGTCATGGGAACGACAGAGCATGGAGCGGTGGATCCTCTTCTCGACATCATCCAGCTCCGTGATCGATATCATAAATTGGGTCTCTCTTTCTACGTCCATGTCGACGCTGCTTGGGTGCGTCTTCAAGCTGTTCATTTCCTCCTCGCTTGCACTGACTTGAGGGTAAAGGGTGGCTACTTCGCTTCGATTGGTGCGTACTGACTACTCCCCTGAAAGGCTCTGTTTACCAACTTGGCACCTAGCCTCCGGCAGAGCCTGTCATAATTCCTGTCCCCGCTGACCTTCCATCGAGCGAGGAGATTGTCCTTCAACGGCCGCTTTCAGAATACACCAAGAATCAACTATTCTCCATCCGATTTGCCGATTCTTGCACTATCGATCCCCACAAGGCCGGGTTCGCACCTTATCCCGCGGGAACTTTGTGCTACAGAGACGAGCGCCTGCGTTTCATGGTCACTCTGACCGCTGCTTACATCAACACCAACGCCGACGTTGACAGCATTGGAGTTTATGGTGTGGAGGGCAGGTGCGTGATATTTCGTATCTTGACTGCCTGCCATTACTCACGATGTCTCTAGCAAGCCAGGGGCTGCTGCCACGTCTGTCTGGTTAGCTCATCATGTCATTGGCCTCCACCACAAGGGTTATGGGGCTCTTCTTGGAGAAGCGATGTATACATCGGCGAAAGTACGCATATTTTACAACTCTAACACTCCCGTAGTTATACTGCAATTGGGCGACTATGACGTTGAACGAGCCCGACTTGATCGTCAAGACCTTGTTCCATCCGAGAGAGATGGCCTACCCCAATCTGCCATCGACAAAGAAACGCAGTACATCATTGACAACATCGTCAACAAGTCGAACAACGAGATCTTGAACAACCCAGGCGTTATGGACAAGCTCTCCGAGCTGGGCGGCGATCTCTGCATCATAGTCTTTGCTTGCAACTTCCACTTGGATGGAAAGGTCAACGAGGACGTCGCAGAAGCGAACTTCCTGAACAGACGTTTGTTCGAGCGGTTCTCTGTCACGAAGCGCCACGACGATCCTTACACCCGCGAGCTGATTGTTGGGTCTTCGACTTTTGAAGAGAAAACGTATGGTCTGGCCTTGGAGAAGTACAAAGAGCGACTTGGGCTCAAAGGTTACAAAGAGCGACTTGGGCTCAAAGGTGAAGGCGATCTTACGGTATTGATCCTCGCCCCGATGTCGCCCTTTCCTACTGCACACAGCTTGGTTAAGAGCCTCGCGGATACATTCAAGGAAGCTGCGAAGGAGGAGATCAAGGTTCGACTGCGCCCTATTTACCTGCCACCTTAACTGACTCATTTTTTCTGATCAGGAATGGGAGGCTCGTATCTCGGTCTCTAAGGCGCATCATTCGTTCGTCATGCAAGGAACGGACAAGCTCTTCCTCTCGTACATCTCAGTGTTTCACATTGGAAACTACCGTCAGCAAGTGGTCCTCACCGCCGAGCTTCCGGCCAACGTGATGCGCGCCTACGCTGAACAAGTAGAGGGGGAACCAGCGACGCTGTTCACATTGACGACCGAGAAAGCTCAGCTCTCGAAAGTCTTCTCCGCTGGGCATTGCAAGGTGTCCATCCACAAGGGATTGAAGTACGTCGTTCTCTTTCTCGTCCATTTAATCCTGGCTGACTTTTTCTTTAGTACGAAACATTCAAAGCTCTTCTTCTCCAATGTTCAACTTTCCAATATCAAAGTCGTTGTCAATCGGTCCATCGCTCCAAAGCACCTCGATAAAGTCTACCCGGAGGAGATGCCGTTCTACCTCTACGGAACTGAAGCGCAGCAGCACATCGACCATATACTGCTTCATGCTCCCAATACTCAGCTCTCCGCCTCCCAAGTCCTGTTAACTCTTGATAAACCAATTTCCGCTACAAAAGCGGAAACCTGCTGAGCGGGTTGATTGCGATCGCATGCACCACGTACGAAGGCGCTATGCAGCCGTTCAACGCCGACCACAAGCCATCGTTTTTTTCCGCTCAGTGCGAACTGCCCGTCACCATTCACAGGGACCCCAACCCCGCGAACGCTCATGGGCCAGGACTACTCAAAGGCCTCGGGAGCCAGTTGCCACAGGCACCATGACGCTCTCTCCCAGCATCTTCGTCGACTACACGCTCGTCAACCAGGAGCACGGAATTGCGCTCAGCGAGAAGCACCACAAGGCAAAGGCGCCTGGCGTCCCGGACATCTTGCACCGCATCGGTGGCATGCCAGCGCACGGCGAGAGGTACAGCATCACCCCGATGGACATGGCGGCGATCTTCAACGGCCTCGTTGCGCATCACCCTGGGGACAAGCATACGCATAAGATGGCGATTCGCAAGGGATGGAGGGACGTGTTCCATGAGGAGTTGGCGAGGAGGAAGTTGGAGAAGGTTTAAGTTGGTGAAGCGCGGAGTATTATAATAATGGAGGAGTGTTAGAAGAGATGTCCAAGGAAAATAGTGTCAGGACTTTCGTGATTCCAGAGTGACCAATTCTCTGGTTTGTATCGGGCGGGGTGTCGGCCCGACTGCTTTTGGGAGATGGCGCGGCACTCGCAACTTGTTCCAAACCACCACCACCACTGCCATTGTTGATCCCGAACCGCATTGGCGGCCACTTTCCACGACGACACTTTGTTCTAAAGGCACTTGAAGGCGTGTTATCCCGATTCATCTGCACATCAATCAGGTCGAATGTCTTCGTCTTTCTATCTTTCTTTCATACTCAACCTCATCATTTGGATTTGAAATCACGTCTTCTGGATCCCCTACTTGTGAGTACCTGCTTGACTATCAAGCTATCTCCCTCAAACCTAGAGTTAGACTTTAGCAACTTCGATCAAGGCAGCTTGAACTATGTCCGCAGTTCATCAAGAGCTCGAGGTTGAGCTTTTGGATGCTTCCGTTTCCGTTTCCGACTTCGTGAAGAAGATCTGGAGCCTTGATTCCAGTACTCTGGGCACCATTCTCAATGCACAGTGGGGGCTCCAAGAAGATGCCTTGAAGCAATATGAAAACGTCTACGCCGACGCCACTTCGGAGCCCATACGCCATCGGCCTTTCCGTGAAATCTCTGCTGCCTTGCTCCAAGACGTTTGTATGGCTCTGGAAATCGACTGCGCTGCTTGTGCTACACTATCTACCGCAACAACACGATCTCATTACAACATAGGCTCAATGTCTTTCGTCCAAAGTCACTCGACTGCCGTCAACAGCTCGACCTCAACCAAACGGCCCATTAGCCAAGTTGACGGCCCGAACGAGTCCGGCGATTCGAAGCGCGTGAGGGTCCTCGTTGCAGGCGATAGGCTTGTGCCCTCCAGCGACGTACTCGACTCTGGGCGCCACTTCACGACGAGCATCACCATCGATGGAACTACGACAGCGCTGTGGAACTGCGACTGCTGTCATTCGGACGGTCGGATTCAACGATTTCCTCCGCGTCGCCGGTAATGGTCCTCAGCTGCTTGCAGCATCCCTCTTTGCCTTCAGCAGGGCGAGCACGAAGCGGGCGGGGTTCGACCCGTTTGTGCGCCATTTTGTGAACCCCGCAGGGAGTCGGCTAGGACTTGAATCTGGCATGATCGCGCCGAACCGTCTGAAGCTTGAGTCATGGGCACTGGAGACGCGCAAGGAGGAAGAACCCGTTCGCGATCGCGTCGTAAATGTCCTCGTTTCGCGTCCATGTCATAGTATCACTGATGCCAGTAGTATTGAAGAGGTCCAAACTATCTTCCTCAACTGTCTCGAATGCAAGTGCATTTTGCCTCATCTGTAGCTCACGCATCCTCCTGACTCTTGCATGCAGGCCACTATCACACGGACACGACTGGCGGTGTCCTTCACTGCGACATCAACGAAAGCAATATGTCGCTTGTTGACCTTGAAGATTTTGGAAGACCTACGACGTCGATCATCCGCGGCGTTCTCAACGACTTTGCCTTGGCGTCGGAGGTCGAAGGGGAAGGCTTCGTTCCGACGACCAACGCCCACCCCCGCACAGGCACACAACTGTTCATGTCCAAGGACCTGCTCCTGCCGCCCCGCAAGTCTCGAGTGCCGCCGATTCACTGCTCTTCTACTTCCTTATCTGGGGGTGCACGCCGTACACATTCAAAACGGATACCAAGGGCTCGCGGAGGCGGCCTGTCCCGCCCTGCCTCAAGAAGTGGAACAAGGAGACAGCGTACATGGCGAAGACAACGTTCTATCTGGGCCATGGGTTCGGTATCGTCGGCGACGCGATCTTGCCACATTTCGAGGGTGTGTGGAAAGAATGGGTCACCCCGCTCTACCGCAAGGTGTTCAGGCCAGCCATGGCATTCCGGCCGACAGAAGGGGATCCTGGCTATGAAGAGCATGAATTTGTGACATGCAATGGGGTGGTGACTTTCGAGAAATTTATGGCTGCCATTGGAGTGCAGCCACGACTTGTGAACCCCTCGCCTCCCACTTCAAATGTATAGTTTACTTGTCAGTGAAAAGTGAAACACCTGCCGTAGTGATCTCTTCTATCCGCTTGTATTTCAGAAATATTCCAAGAATCGATTCTAGTTTCCTGTTCTCGATCGTCGTATGTCCTAGGGCGCGCACATAATGGTTCCCTTCCATACCCTACGGGCGCGCCTGGACACCGCTCTAAAATTTCGTCCACTTCTCTGGTGAGCGCCTAATTACCACAGCCGCAAAATGCTGGATTGCCCCATATATGCCTGCAGTTCTCGATGGGGGCCACGCCGGTGAACTGAGCTAGTCAATTGGTTCACTGGACCGCAGAGTTTTGGGTGCTAAAAATAGCTTGGCAGTTGCTCAAAAATAGACATGCAGCCCGCCTTGCGCCATACCGTGAATGAAAAGCCCTATTGACCAGCTATCGACTACCCAAGTGCTTCGATTTTAAATTTGACGAAATGGTTTGGGCAATCGACGGCTAACAGGACAGCTCATCATTTCGAAGTGGTTACTTTTACCAACACCTTGCATAAATACATAACCGTGCTGATGATGGAGTCCAGAGAGGTTGGCTGGAAGAAACCTGCCTCCATTCGAGATGGTTGTGCGTAGGGTGGTACATGGCCAAAGTGTGTAGATATTGAAAGAAGGAAGAAGGAAATAAATACAAGAACGGTGAATGACTGCTGGGGTACGAAAGAAATATATCAATCACGCTGTTGTAACAGCTGCTGCTACGGGTACCGGTGTAGATTCTTTCTTTTGTCTTGCCGCGATCTTCTTGTCTTCCAACTTCCTCTCCACGCTCTCAATGTCGTTGAGGAAATTCAGTAGCTCCTGCATTCGAAATGAGAATGAAGTCAACGGCAAGAAGCATGTAAACGTACACTACTCGTTGGCTCAAAGTCCAGCCCCAATCGAACAGCGTCGGCGGCATCCCGTAGGCGTTCGAGACCGACGAGAGCTTTGGCCTTGCGGAAGTGCCCCTTGCTCCAGTTTCGGCGGATCGCGATGACAGTCTCTGCGTCGGCGAGGGCAGAAACGTAGTCCCTCCTATCGAAGTAGGCTGCTGAGCGGTTGGAGATTACGGTTGAGAGTTCCTCGCGCATGAACTGGTTGGCCTCCCATGGTGGACGCTGAACGGCCATGTTTGCTGCCGCGGTGTACCGGGCGATGGCCTGTGCTTGTTGGCCTGTTTTAAACAGTTGCTGGAGGCGAATTAGTTTAATGTACAAGAATTACGATGCAAAAATGGCGTACATTTCCCTCCTCCTTTGTGGTAGTCACGACTTGCGTGAGCTTTTGTGAAATGACGTTTGCGGGCGGAGGGCAGAGGAGGGTGGGGTTGGAAACGAGGATCCGTGAGAGACGGTTCGTGTTGATGAAGTCGACGCCACATTCATCGCATTTCTCGAGCCTGTGTACCGAGCAGAGGGCGATGCTCCCTTCTTGGGACAGTGTCAGTGGGCTGGGAACAAAGTCCTGGTCGATGAGAGCCTGTAGTGCGGGGTCGATGGGAGGCATCCCTGGACTCTGCGGGGACTGGGGCGACTGTGGCCCATGTGAGTGGGAGTGGGAGTGCTCTTCGCCGGGTGCGTGTGTATGCGAGTGGGACATGGCTGTTGACGGAGAGCGCTGGCTGCCACGTCCGTTCGCGTCGTCGAAATTCAAATTGGTACAGCCACGATGTCCCGTGATCGTGTGAATAAATTCTAATTTGTCAGCACACGCATAAGGTGGGCGAATTTTTCAGAAACAGCGAGCCCCCGCTCTTTGATCTCACCCATCATCCTCTTAGAACACCCATTTTTCTTTTCCTCTCTCTTTTCAGACGAAGGAATTTCTCAAAAACAAACAGACCTTTACTGCTTAACCTAATATGACAAATGGTCTTGTAAACGGCACCACGGGCATGGAGCGTCAATTTGGTGAGCCTCGCTTTCACACCACCCCGCACAGCACCCACTTACAGCGCTACTCAGACTCTCTTTCCCTAACCAAATCTGCTTATGTTCCCCCCCACCTCAGGGGTGTGCAGCGGGCTGCCTCGAATCCCTCTTTTTCCAACGGGTACGCATCTTGCTCCCTTTTTGCGCTGAGGTGTCACTTTTGGCTTACATGACTCATCATCAGAAACAGTTGGGCTGGTTCCCGTAACAACACGCCTTCACCTGCTCCTCAGGCCGCCCGTGGCGGCTTCGAAAGCAGGGGAGGTGGCTATCAAGACAGAGGCCGTGGCGCTATAGGCTCTGCGCCTCGTGGCGGAGGCAATGCCAATGGTTGGGCCGGCCCCCAGACCAGCGGAAATTGGAGTAGCTCTCTCGCCCCTCGCGATTCTGGTGCTCGCGAAACCTTTGGCTACGGTGCTTGGAAGGATGGCCGCCACGTCGTAGGTGGACGCAACATGCGCATGGAGAAGGAGCTCTTTGGCGACCAGAACGACCCCTCCAAACAGCACACAGGAATCAACTTCGAGAAATATGACGACATTCCTGTCGAAGCTACTGGCGCAGGTGTCCCCGAGCCCGTCATCCAGTTTACCTCCCCTCCTTTGGATGCCATTCTTTTGGAAAACATCGGCTTTGCCATGTACACCACCCCCACCCCCGTTCAAAAGTACTCTATTCCCATCGTTGCCGGGGGTCGCGATTTGATGGCTTGCGCCCAGGTACGCTTACGTCTGCTCTTCATTTCGGCATCATCTGATATTCTCTCCAGACTGGTTCCGGCAAGACTGGAGGTTTCCTCTTCCCCATTTTATCGGCCTCATTCGCTGAAGGCCCTCGTGCTCCTCCGGAAGAGCAGAATTCTTACAGCCGCACTCGCAAAGCCTACCCCACCGCTTTAATCCTTGCCCCCACCCGCGAATTGGTGTCTCAGATCCACGACGAGGCCCGCAAGTTTGCCTATCGCTCGTGGGTTCGCCCAGCGGTGGTTTATGGTGGAGCGGATATCAACCAGCAACTCCGACAGATCGAACGTGGCTGTGACCTTCTGAGCGCAACTCCAGGCCGTCTCGTCGACCTCATCGAGCGTGGAAGGATCAGTCTCGCCAACATCAAGTACCTCGTCCTCGATGAGGCTGATCGCATGTTGGACATGGGTTTCGAGCCCCAGATTCGCAGGATCGTCCAGGGCGAGGATATGCCGGGCATCAACGAGCGTCAGACACTCATGTTCAGCGCCACTTTCCCACGCGATATCCAGATCCTCGCAAAGGATTTCCTCAAGGACTATATCTTCCTCTCTGTTGGCCGTGTTGGCTCTACCTCTGAGAACATTACGCAGAAGATCGAGTACGTCGAGGACGCGGACAAACGTAGCGTCCTTCTCGACATCCTTGCCTCGCAGCCTAAGGAGGATCTGGGTCTTACCCTTGTCTTCGTCGAGACGAAGCGCATGGCAGATATGCTCAGCGACTTCCTCATGGGCAACAACCTCCCTGCCACCTCGATTCACGGCGATCGCACCCAACGCGAGCGGGAGATGGCCCTGCAGACCTTCCGAACAGGCCGGACCCCCATCATGGTAGCCACCGCTGTCGCTGCTCGTGGTCTCGATATCCCCAATGTCACCCACGTCGTCAACTACGACCTGCCCTCTGACATTGACGATTACGTCCACCGTATCGGTCGTACTGGCCGTGCCGGCAACACGGGTGTGTCGACTGCGTTCTTCAACCGTGGCAACAAGAATATTGTCAAGGACTTGGTGGAGCTTCTGCGGGAGGCGAACCAGGATATCCCTGGCTGGCTTGAGACAGTCGCGCATGAGGCGAGCTTTGGAAGCAGTAGCTTCAGAGGACGTGGTGGTCGAGGACGTGGTGGTGGAAGGGGCGGTTCGGGCGGTAGGGATTACAGGACTGGAGGTGGCGGAGGTGGAGGTGGAGGTGGAGGCGGAGGAGGCGGCTACGGAGGTGGAAGGGCTGCTTCATACGGTGGTCCTCCCTCTGCCTATGGCGGTGGCGGCGGTGGTTATGGTGGAGGCTACGGTGGAGGAGGAGGAAACGGAGGAGGATGGTGGTAAATCCCTGGTTGACTCCCGTTTCCTCGCCGTCTCGCCTTTCCCTCTATGCTCTCCTATAACACACAGAAACAGAACCCCCGCATAAAACCCAAAAACACAGCCTCTTCCCTTTCCCTTTCTGCCTTCAACTCTCCACAATTCCTCCTATGCTTTCCTCTTTTCTTTTCCGCGACCATCAAGTCTCTCTTCCTCAAACCGACCTGGATCCTACATATGCATATGACGACCCTCATGACTAATTGTGCTGCGCTATAACGACTCCTCGTTCGACACGATGTTGCTCATCCCATGCGACCCTCACCTTATGGTGGTCGACACCGACTTACCCGCCCCTGTGGATCGACCGCCTTTTTTCGACTGATAGAGGGACGAAGATGTCCTGTATGATTCTCCTCTAGACTGTATGATGTATGATGACAATACCCTCGCCATCCACACCTAATTCCGGTATCGGCACCCCGCCTACACTTTGCCTCCACTAATCACGGTCTGGTACGACTCGACACCTGACCTCCGCCTGCACGTTTATCATACAGCCATACACCATGCATCGTCATCGTCATCATCATCCATAGACGCTAGAGGCGGGCGACATTACTCGACGCCAACACCTATACCCCTACCTTAATCGCTTCGGGTTGGTTGGCACATACTTTCGACTCTTTCACTCGCCCCGCCCTATCGTTTTTGTCTTCGTCGTCATCAACCCTCTACACATTCGACCTTCTACACCAGTTATCCCACCATCAACATTTTCATTGCATGGACGAGCAGAGCAACATTAATCAATCATGACTTTTCCCCACTACGCATCGCCATTTCAATTGTGCACCCATTGGTCATCCAGCATATCGTCCATTCGTATCGTCATCGGCATCATCATCGTCTTTACCATCCATCGTCATTTGTCATTATCATTCGTCGAACAATTCTCCTCTTGATACCCCCTCAATTTGTGAACGTTGTACGATAGAGTTGTGTCTGTTGTCGAAATCCTTGGGCGGGCGTTAACTTCTCTTTCGTACTTATCTCTTTTTCTCCTTGTTCGTTTGATAATGCAGCACGATACTAGACGATTGTAGTGTATGATTTAGGTCCCCCTTTTTTCCTCTTTTTCTGAGAGAGATTTGATGTTTCTTTTCTTCGATTTTCTTGAACTCTTCGCTATGCCTCCTCCCTTCCACCCGTCTTTTTTGTGAGTGGATTCACATTGATAGTAAATAGATAGCTTCTAGTAGCGTACGAGTACTTCTGTCTGTTCGTCTGGTCATATATATTTTCTGTTTCTGTGTACATTCGATTCCCTTCGACTGTCTTCGACCCCACAGAAAGCTTCAAAGAAAGCATCAAAGAAAGATCAAGTCGTCGACTACACGTTCGACCTAATTTTCCAATGCCCTTGGCAGGAGGACCTGACGGCAATTGGCTGCGGCAATCGGCGAACCCCGCCAACAAGCCTCGCCCAAAAATTCGACCATCACATTTATTATTCCACCCTTGATTTATAACTTGTCCCCTTCACTTTCTCCTCACCCCCACCGACAGTCGAATTTCAAGAGAACGCAAACAAGAGTCCATTGCCTTCCTGATTACAGACTTCGAAGCACCACTTCGACCCTTAGACTTCCTTACCAAGGTTAGGAAAACAACGTCACGGAATCTGCGCCACTTGTGGGGTTGACCAGCTCGGATTGGGAATCGACATTGCCCCTCGCCCTCCCTCATTGTCGGACGTTCGATTGAGCAGTTGACGCGGCACTGTTCCTTTGTCCGAGCAGCTGCAGCATCAAGCAACCTGCGACTCAGACCAGAAGCCCGAAGCACCTGTTCGTTGCTGCCACGAGGGGTCCTTACTCAGGAATTTGTTGGATATTTGACGAACGAACGTCTTGCGCTTAAAGGTTTGGAGGGGTATTGAAAGGAATTGTCGGTGGGTCACAACGAGAGGCCTCGTTGGTTGGGCATTGCAGGTGTGTGCTTTGTTCTTTGTGAATGCTTGACTTTTCGAGATTTGGGGTTTCCTTTCCGTTGGTTGGCTAGCCGAGGGAAGGGTGTTGTGCTGGACGTGGACATTCGCTTCGGGGCTAGCTTGCTGGAGCATGGTTTTGAGCATTGACAGCGTGCTGGGACACAGACATGTTAACATCCCTGAAGGGGAGGACTATTTTGTTTTTCATTATGGGCTTCTCCGACGGAATCCTTATTTCGTCATTGGACTGTTGGTCAAATTACAAGGGATTGGAGTCCAGACTCGGATTGGGCCACGATGGCGAAGGATCATGGATCTCGGAATGCGCTGTCCCCGCTGCTCGTGCTGTGGAGGGTGCTGTGGGCACCATCGCTGTCTTTCCTCGGTATACCTGGAGAAGGGTACACGTCACCGTGCCGAGGTCTCGCCATCTCTCTTCGCCCAAACAGTGCCACTTCCGATAATTGGGGTCAGTCGTGTGCCTAGTCGCCGATGTGCTCATCGTCCACCGCAGCGAGCCCGAATATTATCTCGACGTCCAGATAATTTCCCATTCCATAATCTGTGGGATCTAACCTTCCGAAGTTGTGCCATCACTGCGTTTTGCTGTTCTCAGAACAGGTTTATGTCCGTTATCACCTGCGCAGTGGGATTTCACAGTCATCTTTTCCTGTGGGGTACAGATCTGAGAGCACTGATACTCGTTTGGTTCCTTGACACGTACTTGCTTTCTGTCCGAGTCTATGAGCGCTGTCTCACCGTCATAACCTTTATTCCGCAAACTTCGCTGTTCCATCCACACCCTGTCCCACTCTTTGACCGTCTGCCACTGACACGGTTCTTTCCTTCTTTTTCTTAGACGTCCATCACCTCCTTCACGTTTACCCAGACCAACGTCGGTGTAACGACTTGCATCATCCTTTCACGAATCGACTATCAATCCATCATCGGTGGGTGCATCACAACATCGACATCTTCCAGCACCTATTTACCGTCTTCTCGCACACAAGAACATATTGCATAGAAGCAAGGACGACCTGGACGCCTCCTCCACGAGGACGAGAACAAAAAGCACCATGTATCGAGGGTTGCCGTCGCCCATTTTCGACGTCCCAGAATTCCCAGCCCTTCGCCGGGTGAAGCCACTACCAAAACGACGCCGAACGACGGTTAGCATGGACGACGAGCGCACCTTGGAGCTGGTAGCGCAGAGTGCCACAGCCCTCCTCCAACAAAGCGCCGCGGCGGCTATTCTGCACCAACAGCAACAACAGCAAGGACTCGATGGCCTGCCGCCGACCCTCACTCCTGAAGACCTGCTCACGCATTCAGATGAGCTGTCAGCGAGGATGGCGCTCCAGAATTACTACATGCCTCTTCTGGGAGGCGTGCAGAACTTTTTGGCTAATGCTACGAACAGCCCATCAGGTGGAGAAGGGGATTCGGCGAATAACACGGCTGCAGCTGCAGCTGCGGCGGCGTTCGCTGCTGTCGCTGGCACAGGCAGGAATGGCCCTTTGCCGCTGCCAGAGCTCGACTCTATTGAGTTCGGTGTGCACTTTGCGGCCGCAGCGGCGGCGGCGGCTGCTGCAGGTGTGGCGATGGGTGGTCTTGGGAATTTGGGGATGGGCTTACCGGGTATGGACATGAATAGCATGATGGGTGGTATGGGTCTCGGCGGCGCAAGAAACACTGCACCACCCACACCAGCAGGAGGCGGGGCAGGGCATGGCAGACAGGACGATGACGACGACGGACGCGGCGACTGCGACTACTCAGATTACCTCCGCCAACCCGGAAACACGAAGAAACGGAAAGTACCTGCCAATCAG